TCTTTATGCCTTGTTAACTCATCAATGCAGGCTCAGGGAATTCCTAAGCTTATTCCCCACATAATAGCAAAACAATTTAAAATAGCATAAGGACTTAATGTGCCATATTTCAAAATGTAATAAAAATCTACATCAAAAGACTGTGGCATCTGTGTCAAAATATAGAAATAGATTAAGGGATCAAATAGTAAGTTCAGAAACAGATCCACATATAATCAATTTATTTTCTACAAAAGTGCTAAGAACTTCAATGTGAGAAAGAATTATCTTTTGAGAAAATTGCAGTGACATAATTGGGTATACATATTAAATATGACATCAAACTCTTACTTTATACCATAGAGGAATTTAAAGGAAATAGATTATAAAAATAAATGTAAAGCTTGAAACTGTACAACTTCTAGAAGACAACTTAGAAAATCTTAATGATCTTCACTAAGGCAAATATTTCTTAAATAGAACACAAAATGTATGAAGTATAAAAGAAAACAACTATATATAAATTGGGCTTGATCAGAATTTAAAACATATGCTATTCAAGAACAAAGAAATGAGAAGGGAAACTACAGCTTTGGGGAGGTGGGTGGTTGGAGGTACAGAGAAATATCTGTAATACACTTGTCTTAATAAAATATGTGTAAAAATAAAGAAAATACCACTTAACATGGAGTCAGAAAACCCTGAAGGAGCTCTCATGAACATACTGCTTGAAACCTGCATAACCAGTAGGAATAAGGAAGATAAAAATTGTCTTGACAAAGGTGGACATTTTTCACATAGAAATTCCATCTCTTGCTTTTAAGAAAAATAAGGAAGATCCCTTCCTGCTCCAGCAACAATGCACTAACCACTGCTTGTAACCAATGAGAAACCACCACATCAAACTCTTATTTTCCAGTGTACTTTTGTTTAAAACAATCCTCTCTAATTTCCTCCTCAAGCCTAATAAAAGTTGACCTTCTCTTTGTCTCTTCAGATTTGCCTATGAGTCATTTTAGTGTGCTTGTCTCAAATTGCAAGTCTCCCACTATTCCTGAATAATCTCATTTTGCTGGAAAAATGACTGCTATTTTTTTTAAGTAGGCTTCATGCCCAATGCAGGGTCCCACATTAGGGCTTGAACTCATGACCCCAAGATCAAGACCTGAGATGAGATCAAGAATCAGAGGCTTAACCAACTGAGCCACCCAGGCACCCCTGGCTAATTTATTTTTAAGCTTGACCTTACATAATTGTCAGAAGTGGGATCTGAAAAAAACAAACCCCCATGGAACTAGCAAGTCTGAATTGTGTGAGGTATTCACTTGAGCTCTCTGTGATGTCTCTGCTTCCATGGATTATCTTTGTCCTTTCAGTTTTTGTCCTCCTCTCAGTTTTCTTCTTTGGTTGAGCTCTCTGACTTTATTCAGGATCTATTTTTGTTTTTATAAAGCTTCCTGGTACATCACCCATCCTGTTCAAAAGGTGAAAACATGTGATTCCCTGTGTTTTAAAACAGCTGTTGGAAAACAGCGTCCTTAATAGTAGAGATATTTTAAGGAATACAAAAGCAAGATAAGTTGCACCTGGCCTGTGGGTTTTGCCTTTATCAAAAAATGGGTGAACTTTTTGATGATTTGGAATTGGAATAGCCATTATGGGGAAACTGTTTTAGATATAAGTCCATCTTAAGGGGTACCCTTAAAATAGAGGATTCTAAAACTTTTAGAAACAATGGGATGCATTCTTTGATTTGTATGCAGAAGTTTCTAAAAGACAAAATGACTTCAAAATCAATTCTAAAAGGATACTTGCAGCATGAGGAAAGGGAAGGGAAGGAGACTTTGATCATCTGAGCAGGTAACCTTAACTTAGTCTCTCTGCCAGAAATACAATTTGGATTCAACTGTTCTTTTGAGTTTTGTCCCTGAGACATGGCTAAAATTTTATAAAACAAAAGCTATAAGATCTCTGCGTCTATGTATACAAGTAATATTTCTTTAACTGTAGGTGGTATTGCCAAAATTAACTTTTAAAGAGCTTTATTTAATTAGCTCAAAAAAATTGAGCATTTATATAAATCAAGGATACTCCCAGAAATATAGAAACTATCTCAAATGTTTTTCAAGTTTATATGATCTGGGATAAATTTTGATAAATAGATACTAATCTACATTTATAGGTTTAATAAAAACAGACATGTGTTAAAATTTTATTAACAAGAAAAATAACTGGCGTGCCTGGGTGGCTTCAGCTCAGGTCATGATCTCTTGGCTTGTGGGTTAAAGCCCCACATCAGGTTCTGTGCTGATAGCTCAGAGCCTGGAGCCTGCTTCCAGTTCTGTGTCTCCCTCTCTCTCTGGCCTACCCTGCTTGTGTTCTGTCTCTCTCTCTCAAAAACAAAAAAAATAAATAAATAAACGTTAAAAAAAATTTAAAAAGAAAAATAACTTAAGATGATGGTTTACTATTTAAAGCCTATCCAAGCATAACTGTTAAAAACCAGTACTTTAAATAAGTAAATACGATCAAATTTTATACTAAGTTAAGCTAATATTCATTGAATATCTAAATCATATCCAGATAAGGTAAATATTAAATGCTAAATGTAAGTTCATCTACTTTTGGCTTTTTAATTCTTACAAAGAGACAAAAGATATTTAGGTCTCTTAATAGACACATTTTATGCCACACTCAGAAAAAATTATGAGAAATAAAATATTTCTAAACTTTTGAAATGTATTTGTTTGCTAATCTACTATAGGATATTAATAAATAATAGTTCACAATTTCCTGCTTCCTACTTTTCACTGTAAAGAAAACATTACAAATAGTTTAAAATGTTGGAAGAAGAGCTAAGATACAAAATGAGCCAAAAAGAAAATGTCAAAACACTAAGATTAATAAATATAAATTAATTCTGCACAAACTGTGCACATCGGTGCTGAGAGAATGAAGGCAAAATAGGTACCCTTTTGGAATCTAAGAAACACTGAAACCCCCATGTGGGAAATGCAGTAGAGAAGCATCAAAAGAAAAGACTTCAAAAGGGAAGGGCTGGAGAAGGTGCAAGGCCTTAGGACATGTTTACATAGCTGAACATGGCTGCAGCTCCTCTCCTAAGGAATGCCTAGAGCCATTAACTTTGTCGAGGGCCGGATCCTCCTTCACACCTGACCCTTCCTAATGTTATAGAAACCAATTAACTTGAAATTCAACCTTGAAAAGCTAAACCATTAGATTGATTAACACACTTGCTTAGCTGACTTTATGAATGTAGTCTTTAGCAATTATCCAAATAAAAAGAAGCGTCATTCTGGAGTCAGGGCCTCATTCTGACTCCAGTATGAGGACCTTCACTTAACTGCACTTTGCGGACTCATCTTTTGTGACTCAGGCCATACTCCCTGCAACACCCCCAGGAGAGTTATTCTCCTACTATGGAAGAATTTACTGAAACTTCTTGTTTTTTAAAGTATGGCCAAGGCCATTGTTGATTTATGACTAATATCAAATAAATAGAAAATATGTATACTATCCATATCTACAGAGATAAATGAATAATATATATCTTTAACTTTATAATTTAGATGTATTTATTTTTGATGTATTTATTATCTATATCTAAGCAGAAGATAATTTCATAAAATGCAAAATAAAATGAATGAATGGTATACACTAAAAATAAACAAAATATGTGTCAGTTTATTAAACTTTTTTTGGTAGCTCATATGGTTTTACATATATAAGTATTTGTTGAGACATGCTATACACTATATTTCTTTTTTTTTATAGCTTTCTTTATTTTTAATGTTTATTTATTTTTGAGAGACAGAGACAGATTTTGAGTGGGGGAGGGGCAGAGAGAGAGGGATATAGAACCTGAAGCAGACTCCAGGCTCTGAGCTGTCAGCACAGAGCTGAATGTGGGGCTTGAACTCATGAACTGCGAGATCATGAACTGAGCTGAAGTTGGACATGTAACTGATTTAGCCACCCTGGCACCCCTATACACTATATTTCTTATTATAAAACAACCCAATATGTTTGAAAGCCACTGTACTTATATCACAATGTATTGCACAACAGCAGGGTTTGTCTGATCAGATGAAAAGGCCAGTACAAGAATAGCCACCCTCTGTCCTGTATACACACAGTGCTAACTCTTCAAATGGAGTCTATAATCACTCTTTGATAGGCTCATTCTTTGCCTTGTCTTTTCAGATTTGCAGCCAGGCAGGAATCGTTATTTAAAAGAACTTCCCTCATTTCTTATAACTACTTCAAGTTTGGAAATTCTAATGATGGCTCCCCAGATAGTTATAGTTCTGCCATAAGTTTAGAGGTTGTCCCATGTTCAAATCTTTATTCTGCCTCCCTAACTCAAAGCAGAACTCTTAAGAAATAGTGTGGGGATTCTGTTGCCACTTCCTGTTCAGTCATTCCCAGTCTGACAGAGAAATATCAGAATAAGCCTATAGACATAAGTGAATCTCACAATGATTTCAAAAAAGCATATGGTTTATTTTAGCTATATTACATAAAAGTTAATATTCACTTAATGTAATGTATAAGCAGTTATGTGATTATTCTGTAATAACTGCCTTGCATCATTTCTTTTCTAGGGAAGATTTATAAACTTTCAAAATTAAGAAAAAAACATCTGGGGTGCCTGGGTGGCTCAGTCAGTTAAGTGACCGACTTTAGCTCAGGTCATGATCTTGCAGTTCATGAGTTGGAGCTCCACAATGAGCTCTGTGCTGACACCTCAGAGTCTGGAGCCTGCTTTGGATTCTGTGTCTCCCTCTCTCTGCTCCTCCCCTGCTTGCGCTCTATCTCTCTCTTTCTCAAAAATAAATAAACATTAAAAAATTAAAAAAAGAGAAAATAACATCTGAACTAATAAAGTTTAAATTGTCAGCAAAAAAAGTCGTTTTTTTAACAAACCTACTAGAAAAATAATAAGAATTTTAAAATGTATATGAAAAATAGGGTATATGATTTTCATGTTTAAAAAAGGTATGAGGAATGAAGATGAATTTTTGGTAAGAAAAAAGGTAATTTTGTCCTAAAATAAAATGACTTTCTAGAACAAGAAAGAAAAGGGACAAAACCTAAATGCACATTAAAAGTTGTGTATGCTTGGGGCGCCTGGGTGGCGCAGTCGGTTAAGCGTCCGACTTCAGCCAGGTCACGATCTCGCGGTCTGTGAGTTCGAGCCCCGTGTCGGGCTCTGGGCTGATGGCTCGGAGCCTGGAGCCTGTTTCCGATTCTGTGTCTCCCTCTCTCTCTGCCCCTCCCCCGTTCATGCTCTGTCTCTCTCTGTCCCAAAAATAAATAAAAAACGTTGAAAAAAAAATTAAAAAAAAAAAAAAACAATATTAAAAAAAAAAAAAGTTGTGTATGGTTTATGGAAAAGAAATTTTGAGAAAGGAATTTCATATATGGTCAAGTTGCCTAAAATTTAAATTGTTATAAGGGCTTTAAAATTAAACTTTAATATCAATAGTGTACTTATATGAAACTAAAGCTTAATTTTCCTTCCTCACTTCAAAAATAAACTTTTCTTGGACTATTGGTCTGCTTTTGATAAGATATTGTGAAAGGTTTCCTTTACTTTTTAAAGTAATCTCCATTTGCAACAATGTGGATGGAACTAGAGTGTATTATCCTAGGTGAAATAAGTCAGTCAGAAAGACAAATATCATATGATTTCACTCATATATGGAATTTAAGAAAACAGAACAGATGAACATACGGGAGGGGAAAGAAAATAAGATAAAATCAGAAAAGGGAGGCAAACCATAAGAGGCTCTTAAATACAGAGAAAAAACTGAGGGTTGCTGGAGGGGATGTGGGTAGAGGGATGGGTTGAATGGGTGATGGGTGTTGAGAGCACTTGTTGGGATGAACACTGGGTTTTATATGTAAGTGATGAATCACTGGGTTCTTCTACTCCTGAAACCAAGACTACACTGTATATTAACTAACTTGAATTTATGTAAATACATTTTAAAAAAGAAAAAGAAATAAAGTAATCTCTTAAGAAAGCAAGCTTTTATGTTTGTCCTGTGCCTGCTGCCTCCCTCAATGCTGCTGGAGGTGTCCACCCACTCTCTACCACTATGGAGACATCCTCACACTACTGCCATCTGCTGAGTGACTACAGGCTACCATCTCTAGGCTACACTCAGGGAACTGGGAACAGCCAGCTACCCCAAAACAAATAGGCTGAGCTGCTGGTCATCATCGAGGAGCTGGGGAAAGAGATTAGACTCATCTATGCAGGGAGCAAGAGCACCATGAAGAGACTAAAACAAGGCGTAGGTGTTAGCCCCGCATTAAGCTCTGTGCTGACAGCTCAGGGCCTGGAGCCTGCTTCAGATTCTGTCTCCCTCGCTCTTGGCCCCTCCCCCACTCACACTCTGTCTCTCTCTCAAAAATAAATAAACATTAAAAAAATTTTTTTAAATAACCATGTTTTAATAGAACAATAGTTTCACAGCATGCTCCCAAGAGATGAAGATCTTAAACATCACACCTTGCAACCTTGGGACTTTATTTATTGGAAAAGTTATCTCCAGAAAAAACTCCATTTAATCCTGTTGGGAAGGCCTTTATCAGGTACTATTAACCAACTTTGTGCCACCAAACTCCAAGGAACAGTCCTTTGTAAACACGTGTCACATTTAAAGAAAGCACCAAAATCTGACTGGCCCTGCATACCAACTGGTGACCTGAAAGTAAAGATTTCTAGGAATTTAAGCAGACGACAGTTGAAGGAGACAACTTTCTCAAGATGACCAGACCAGACTTGCATACCTTTTTCTCACTGCTGCTTCTTACATATTTTTCCTTCCATTTCTATTGGAGAGACAATGTTCTTATCTGTGTTTCTCAGTCTATTACAAAAGGTAAAAACCTATCTGACTGTTGGGTCTGTCACCAGAAACTTATTTGTTCACAACGTTGAAGACCCCTTGGTCTTACCTGTAACCATTATGTCTTTGGTCTCAAATGCCATTGCCAATTATACCCATAAGTGTATGAATGTTAGCTATCAGGTAAGGTTATTATGACCTTATGTTCTCATGTCTTGTTTCAATCTTTCCTCCATCATAACCATACTAGCTCAGATAAATACTTCCATCTTTGTTAATCATATGACCCTTGCTCTCCCCAAGGGTCTTACCTGAATGTGATCTGTTTCCCTGCAACCAAGGGAAATACAAATGGGCTAACTCTTACTTGTAAGGTTTTTAGAAAAGACCCCTTTAGGATGGGATGGCATCTCACATAATATCACACTATTACACAAATTGGAGTCATCGTTCTTCTCTTCAATTTACATTTTATACTTCCTTTTAAGCTCTGTGCCTATTGCCTATCAAACATTTGCAGAGGTAACATACCCACAAAGGTGAGGCTAACTCAGTGCTTTCAGATAATCTCTACCACTTTTGCCCTTAAAGGTATACACTGTATATAAAAACATGTCTGAGAGTTCTCCCTCCTCCACTTGTTATACAATATGGACTAGACAGTTTCCCATCTTTGAATTTTCCTTCTTATGTGGGACATGCAATCAAAAAAGGTCATTCCTGGCAGTGAGTGAAAAAAAAAACAAAACACCAAATGTGGAAAACTCCAATTTTGATCAGCAATGCTTTGGAGGAACAATCATGATGAATAGGGGGAAATGTAAATGTGAATAAAGGAAATATCATTTATTTTATTTTATTTGTATTCCAGTATAGTTAACATACGGTGTTATAGTAGTTTCAGGTACATGATATAGTGATTCAACAATTCCATACATTACCCAGTGCTCGTCACAAGTGCACTCCTTAATCCCCATCACCTATTTAACCCATATCCCCACCCAAGTACCCTCTTGTAACCTCTTGTAATAATTAAGAGTTTGTTTCTTGACTTGTCTCAGTCTCTCTCTCTTTCTCTTCCTCTCTCTGTCTTTTTCACTTGTTTTGTTTCTTAAATCTGACAAATGAATGAAATCATATGGTATTTGTCTTTCTATGACTGACATTTCACTTAGCATTATAATATTATATATCATATTTATATTTGTAATTATATTTTATACTTATAAACTATATTTGCAATTATAATTATTATGTATTAAATATACTATATATAACTTATATAATATTATAATACTATGTATGTGTATATAGATCACTACTTTTTTTTAAGTTTTTTTTTATTTTGAGAAAGACACAGACAGTTCAAGTAGGGGAGGGGCAGAGAGAGAGGGAGACAGAGAATCCCAAGCAGACTCTGCACTGTCAGCCAGAAGCTGACATGGAACTTGAACTCACAAAACTGTGATCATGACCTGGTCCAAAACCAAGTGTCCGATGCTTAATTGACTGAGCCATCCAGGTGCCCCCATCACTACTTCTTTATCCATTCATCCATTCATCAATTGATGAACACTTGGGCTGCTTCCATGATTTGGCTATTGTATATAATTCCACTGTAAACAAAAGGGTGCACATATCCCTCTGAATAAGTGTTTTTGTAATTTTTTTGGATAAATACCCAGTAGTGTGATTACTGGATCATAGGATAGTTCTATTTTTAACTTTTTGAGGGACCTCCATACTGTTTTCCACAGTGGCTGGGCCAGTTTGCATTCCCACCAACAGTCCACAAGGCTTCCTTTTTCTCCACATCTTTGCCAACAGTTGTTATTTTTTGTGTTTTCGATTTAGCCATTCTGACAGGTGTGAGGTAATATACCATTCTAGTTTTTATTTGCACTTTACCTTATGATGAGTGATATTGAGCATCTTTTCATGTGTCTGTTGGCCATCTGGATATCTTCAGAGAAATTTCTGTTCATTTATTCTACCCATTTTAAAAATTGGATTAGTTTTGTGGGGGTGTTGATTTGTAGTTTTTTAATGTATTTGTAGTATTTAATTTGTAGTTTTTAATATATACTATATTTAATATATTTGTAGTTTTTAATTTGTAGTTTTTAATATATACTAACCATTTTTCAGATAAGTCCTTTGCAAATATCTTCTCCCTTTCAGTGGATTGCCTTTTAGTTTTGTTGATTGTTTCCTTTACTGTGCAGAGTATTTTTATTTTGATATAGTCCCAATAGTTATTTTTGTTTTTATTTGACATATCTAGAAAAACGTTGCTATGGATGATGTCAGAGACCTGCATGTGTCTACTTCTAGGAGTTTTATGGCTTCATGTCTTACATTTAGGTCTTTAATCCATTTTGAGTTGTTTTTGTGTATGGTGTAAGAAAGTGGTCCTGTTTTCCCAGCATCATTTGTTGAAGAGACTGTCTTTTTCCCATTGCATATTCTTTCTTGGTTTGTTGAAGATCAGTTGACCATATAGATACCGATTTATTCTGGGCTTTCTATTCTGTTCCATTGAACTGTATGTCTGTTTTTCTGATTTTTACTACAGATTTGTAATATAACCTGAAGTCTGGAATTGTGATACCTCCAGCTTTGCTTTTTCTTTTTCAAGATTCCCTTAGCAATTTGAAGTCTTTTGTGGATCCATATAAATTTTAGGATTATTTCTTTTAGTTTTCTGAAAAAAGGCTGTCATTTTTTTGGTAGGAATTGCATTAAATGTGTAGATTGTAGATTGTTTTGAGTAGTATAGGCTTCTTCTTCTTCTTCTTCTTCTTCTTTTAGAGAGAGCAAGCACATAAGTGGGGGAGATGGGCAGAGGCATGTCGTAGACTCTGGGTCTAAAGTTCTCTCTAGCAAAAGAGCGGGACACAGGATTATTATGTGAGAGATGGTTAATGTCTGGGAAAAGACAAGAGCCCTGAATAAGGGTCCTTGCCCCATATTTATTAAGATCAGAAGGCTTACAAGTGTGATGCCTTCACATTTGCATAAAGAGACAATGAATCGGTGAACATTAACTGATGGGCATGAGAAAAAGGGGGTTTTGAAGATATGCAGTGTTTGGAGTTTGGGTCAATATAAAACAAAATCCTGGTGCTGGGCAGATGGGCAGATCGTTGTTAACAGCAGACAGGAGGCACCTTGCCTGTTTATCTTAGCTAGCCTAGGGAATAAGACAGAACAAATAACCTCAGGGTTAATAAGGCACCTTTTCTTTTGTTAATCATCTCTGCCCTGGGCAGCTTCACTCAGAGCACAGTGCAGCAGTCCATAGCTCAATTTACCTGTTTACCTAACTTCGTCCTTCCTTTCTGTGAAAGCAGCTTTCTGCTATAGTACTAAATTGAGGGGGGTGGGGCGCTTCTGCCCTGAATACTTAATCTTGTTTATTTCATATACCTATGTTCTATATTGGGGTTTTACCCCTCCCTATTCTGGGTGACTTGCACCTCCTTACTTTATTCTGGGGGCCCCAGCCCCCCTTTACTCTATTCTGGAGGGTCTAAGCCCCCCTTCTCTATCCTTATTCACCTAATCTTGTTTACCCAAACTCAGGTGTGAACATCCTATGGCTTTGTACTTCTTTATGCCTTGTTAACTCATTGGTGTGAACCCAGGGAATTCCTAAACTTATTCCCCACAGAGGTAGAGAGAGAATCTCAAGCAGACTCCATGCTGAGTGTGGAGCCTGATGCAGGGCTTGATCCCATGACCCTGGAATCATGACCTAAGCCAAAATCAAAAGTTGGACACTCAACTCACTGAGTCAGACAGGCACTCTGGGTAGTATAAACATTTTAACAATATTTTTCTTCCAATCCATGACCATAAAATGAATTTCCATTTTTTTGTGTGTCATCTTTAATTTCTTTCACCAATGTTTTATATTTTGCAGAGTACGCATCTTTTTACCTCTATGGTATGTTTATTCCTAAGTAACTTATTATTTTGGGGACAATTATAAATAAATTTGTTTTCCTGATTTCTCTTTCTGCTGTTTCATTAGTTTATAGAAATGCAACAAATTTCTGCACATTGATTCTATATCCTATGAGTTTACTGAATTCACTAATTAGTTCTATTATTTTTGGGGGGAATCTTTTGGATTTTCTATATACAGTATCATGTCATCTGCAAATAGTTAAAGTTTTACTTCTTTCTTACCAATTTTATATCTTTTTGTTGTTTAATTACTATGACTAGGACTTCCAGTATTATGCTGAATAAAAGAGTTGAAAGCAGACATCCTTGTCTTGTTCCTGACCTTAGGGAGAAAGCTGTCAGTTTTTTCCTCAGGAATATGATATTCATTATGGGTTTTCCTATAAGGCCTTTATCATGTTGAGGTATGTTCCCTCTAAACCTACTTTGTTGAAGACTTTTATCATGAATAGATGCTGTATTTTGTCAAATGCTTTTTCTGCATCCATCTTAGTTTTTCTGATCATATGGTTCTTGTCAGTTCTCTTATTGTTGGGATGTATCACGTGGAATGATTTGCAATATTGAACCACCTTTGCATCTCAGAAATAAATCCAAGTAGATTTTAGTGAATTATTTTCAGATGTTTTGTTGAATTCTGTTTGCTGTATTTCATTGAGGATTTTTGCCTCTATGTTCATCTAAGATATTGGCCTGTCATCTTTGTGTGTGTGTGGGTGTGTGTGTGTATGTGTGTGTGGCATTTTTTTTAATATATGAAATTTATTGTCAAATTGGTTTCCATACAACACCCAGTGCTCATCCCAAAAGG